AAAAAAGTCATTTTTAGTGAAATTTTGCCGGGAATGGGGCTTTAAGTATATATAAATGAATAGTCTGATAAAGTAATCTAAGTCTTTATTTAAACCGTTAATATAAGAACTGGTTCTAAGAATCCACTTAAATTCTTCTTTACGTCTATTTGAGAGGGATAAAAAGTTATTAGCGACCAAAATAAATCTTATGTCATTAATGCTATGGTTAGGTAGATTGAAGTGACAGGCTACTGGGAAACCAGTGGAGTTGTCTCTGATGGTTTTTTTGTGATTATTAAATCGGAGGCGGAATTTAGTGCCAGTCTCTCCAATGTAATTACCAATTTGACATTTGTTTTAGACGTTCTTGTAGGCATCTCTACTAACAACATAATCACACCCTCTTTATACACTAAACCTACTGATAACCATGAATTTCTGAACTTTCACAGCTCCCACCCTTTAAAGGCCAACTCAGACAGCGTCGGCCGACGCAGCCCGACCCGATTTATCGTCGGGGACAGTCTTAAGCCGTCGTGAGAAATATTAGGCATTTTTCGTTTTGACTACGCGGCCAGTCTACTACGAACTAATAGAGCGTAACAGACATCTGCGCCTGCTCACAAACCTTACTGGCTAAATCGGCGTTGTGACAGCTTCCGCGACAACCCCAATTTCTGAATTTGGCGTAGTGGCGACTACCCTAGTACTGACCAATCAGATCACCGGATTGTTTAGCAAACTGCTGGTAACTTTTTTGTTGGGGGTTGCAATTTTCATCGCATCCGCGATCGAGAATTATTCGTTTATAATGAATTAATTATTAAAACAAGTGAGTAATTAAATGTTTTATATAAAGGCCTATTTATAAACATGCAATAAATGAGGAATGAATAGTCACAACATAAATCAGGGGATAGTGAAAAAAGAGCCTTAGGCCTAGGCTAGCTTAGCCTTGTCAGGGTGGATTTCGGGTAGGAGAAAACACATTATCTGGTGCCGCTAGCTAGGGCATCTGCCCTTAATATCGTGGATCAAGTCTTGCTATATAAATTAAAATACCTCTGTTTAAAATTGTTATTTATTTGTACATCATCGTTGCATTTGGCAAATTGCCTGAGCAGGCCTGACACCCCTCTTCTCCCGGTAACGACTCTTTTGACACCTAGGGCCTAGGCTAGGGTGGCCTAGCCTAGCCTAGGTAGGTCTAGATCCTAGCCAACAGCGAAACATCACTCAGTGTTTACTGGAAACTTTTAATTTTGTATACAGTATTTGGCTAAA